CACAATTGCCAAAAGTTAATCAAAAACAAGTAGGGAGGGAGCACAATAAATAAAACTTCAAAGTTACATAGTTTGATTTTTGAAAATATACCTGGTATCCCAGCTAGTGGGAGGCTGAGGTAGGGGGGTCGTTTGCACCTAAAAGTTTAAGATCAGGCTGAGCGACAGAGTGGGAACCTGTCTTCAAAAAAATTAATGAATTAATTAAGCCTTCTTTGACTCACGCTCACAGAAGCACACTGCTGCTTTTCACTGAGGTGGGATGGTGGCTAGGAAGCAGTTCGTGAGACAGATTAGGACCTCAGCTTTGCACTAAAAAATTTTGCAACCCACAAGAGGTACCCAAACATAAATATGAAAATTGAAACCAACAACCCAAAAAGGCATCTGCCTGGCATTTAGTAAATACTCATTACACTGTTAAACTTTGGCAAACACTTTCCCTGTGGAAATAATAATATTGTCCTTTGCAACATACACAAAAATATTAAACTAGCAAGGATGATAAAATAGTTCCTCCGTAGGGATGAATTGCCATTTAATTCAAATATTCAGTGGTACAGAGTGCAACTATCAACTGCCTTCTTATTTCTGTTTTATATTTCGCATTTTAGGGGATTTCCAATTTTGTAAGCCACCCCTGGCTGCTTCTTATGCTTACTCATCACGGTATGTTTCTCTTCTGTACGCACTGAGGAAATGGTGATCTAAGCTTCTGTTTTTGGTACTGGGGACTGAACCCACAGCCTCACACTAAGCTTCCTCCTCAGCTCTTTTTATTTTTCATTTTGAGACAGGGTCTTGCTAAATTGTTCAGGCTGGCTTCCAACTTCTGATCTGCTTCCTCGGCTTCCTAACTGGCTGGGCCCACAGATGTACACCACAGTGCCTGGCTGCTCTTCTAGTTTGCGATGTCAGTGTGCATGTGTTTTTTAAATCAAAGGGTGAATATTAAAAAGTTTGCCTGGGATAAGTTGATCCAAAGGAGTAAAGAGCTCTTCTCCCTCTGCCTGCCCCACGCTCTTTGCCCAGATACAACCCTGTCAGCAGTTTCCTGTGCAGCCCTCCAGAGCTGGCCCCTGGGTATGCAAAAATGCACACACTTAAAACATACACAAGACACCGCTTCTTCAATTCTGAATTTGTTTATTTTTTTATTTTTTTCCATCCTCACCTTTTCATTTTATTTGTAAATTGTTTGGTATACACGGCGGAGCGTAATGAAACCTGGAGAAGTTTAAAAGATTAGATTTTTTTTCTATCCTGACACTTCATAACACTGTTCATATATCTGTGAGTGAGATTTATGAATATATGAGCAGTGCTGCAAAATTATACTGCACCAGAGGCTTCCTGCGCCACAAGGGTGGCAGTCTAAAGTGACACCGCTTCAAGCATTTTTCACAGACATGAAGCAAAATTTAACCCCCTTAAGGGGAAGTATGATTTCAACAGCTTGAAATGAGCTCATTTGTAGATGGTTCCCTCTCTCCCTTTCTCTCCCTCTCTCTCTCTCTTCTCATAATTTTTTGGTGTTAAGATTAAAACAGATTGCACAGCCAATGTAAGGGTACGGAAGCTGACCAGAGTACAGTTTTGCCCTTAAAGTGAAATCCTCACACCATTGTCTCGTGAGGAGCATCCCAGTCGGGTAAACGAAGGGAAAAGTCCCCTCCATTCCTCAGGCTCTCAGCCTGACTCCCAGAATTGTACATAATACAGAAGGGCCCAGGGTTTTGGAAAGGTAAGTAGCAGCGGACAGTAATTAGTTCGGTAAAGAAGTCCCCATCTCTGGGCACAGGAGACAACGGCATTAAGAAATCAGCACTGCCTGGAATCTCAACTGAGTGAAATTAGCCAATTACAGAAAGAAACAGAAGAGCTAAAGATGGTCTCTGGGAAAGGACTGTATCCAAAACGTCTAGGGTAGAGGTGTTAGATGCCAAGACCGCTCTCCTTTGGACTGGTCCAGCACCTTGTGGTTTTGTGTAAATTAATGTTCATGATCTCTGTCCTCTCAAGCTCTCATTAACCCCTTTTGTTTCCTCCTGGAACAGAATGGGGTGCTCAAACACGGCCTGGTCCCTCTTTGCCCTCTAAAGACTCCATGACGTGTTGGCTGGAGAACTTTTTCTCTTTTTCAGCAATGGTACAACAGCTCCATGAATGTCATCTGTACCTGGTTGACGGACCGGATGGACTTGCAGCTTCACATATATCAGTTGAAAACACCCCTCTCCCTTCCTGCTGAGCATTCCAGGTCTCATCTGGAGTCCTCTCCTGAACCACTGCGTCTCATTCTTCAAGTCCCACATAACTCTGCCTTCTCTGAGGAAGGCTTTTCGTGCTCTACTCTTACTCAGCACCCATTTCCTTCCTGTAGACCTTCATCCTGAATTTGTTTAATAGTGAACTTTAGGGCTCTTTCCATGTTGGTTCATATCTAGCTGACTTTCTTTTAAGTGACCATTTCATATGGGTGTGTCAGAATTTATTTCCTAGCAGTGGGAAGACCCTTTGGCAGTGATGGCTAAAGCCAAAATGTTGGTGGATATTTGTCTTTTCCCAGTCTTTGCACTAGCAAGAGAAAGGTCAGTATTCTTGTCTTTGTATAAAGGATCCTGACTACCTAGATTTGAATCCCAGTGACCTAGGGCAGCTTGCTTAGCCTCAGTCTTCTCTCCTCTTAATGGACACATTGGAAGTACTGTGCTGACCTTGAAGATCTGTTGTAAAGATCCAGCAGATTCTGCTTGCAATACATGTAAATCACTAGTATCTTTTTTTTTGCTATATACACATGGACACCCTGCAGTTCCAGTTGTACAGATGCTAAGTAAGACAGCGTGTGCACTTTTAGTTTTGTACATATGGCCAAATTTTCTCTCTGACTCAGTTTGGATACTCCCATCAGCACACCCTGAGATAAACACAGCTAGTTTATTTGGGAGGTGAAGCAAGCAAACACCAGTAGGGGATGGAAATTGAGCCAGGAAAGGCAAGGGACCCCAGAGAGGCACATGGTCAGACAAGCAGGGCTGTGGCAGCCAAAGCTTTACTGCTGGGGAAGCCTGAAGCTGTTCTGCAGGGAGGAGGAGCAGGGCATTTGAACATCAGCTCCCATCAGTGATTGGCTTAAGAGAATCATTGGCTAAGATTAATTCTGTGTCCTGAGGCAAAGTTACGTGTGCCGGCGGTTAGTTTGGAAGCCTTTTCCCTATTGCTTGTTCTGAACAAGTAAACTTCTGATATAATTGCCTTCAGTGTGTGTGTGTGTGTGTGTGTGTGTGTGTGTGTGTGTGTGTGTGCGCACATAGTGTGCCAGGGATTGTATCCAGGGCCTTGTACATGATAACCACACACTCTGTTGTTCAGCTACAGCCTCAGCTTCAGCCGTAGCCCCAGCCCCCAGGGTTTTTTTCTTATCCAATTTTAATTTCAAATGCTTTATGGTAAAGTAGTTAAAGCATATAACATGTGTCATCTCTGCTTTTCTAAGGGGTGTCAATACAATTTTATCAAGTTCCCCAGAGCATCCTGTTATAACTCAGAGGGCATTGCCTTTAATCTACATGTTAACTTGGAGGGGTTTTCTTCTTTGACTTCCTGTGGTCATGGCGGGTTTGTCTTAGTCAGTGCAGGTTGCTCTTACAGAGTAGAATACCATGGACTGAGTGGCTTAAGCAGCAGAATTTTCCTTCTTGTAGATCCGGAGGCTGGGAAGCCCCAGATCTGGGGCCTGCACATCTGGTGTCTGGTGAGATCTCAGTTCCTGGTTTGCAAACAATGCCTTTTCCTGATGTCCTCATGTGGGGGAGGCAGCGGAGGACTTTGTGTCTTATAAGGGCACAAGTCCCACCTACCTGCAAATCCCCCCACACTCACCTGGGCTTCATCTTCTGCCTCTAAGGGGACTCAAGGGTTCAGTCTGCAGTAAGGTTTGCTGCCCGCTGGCTCACATTCTGGCTTCCCTTCTTCTGCCAGAACTTGGCAGTATTTTTTTTTTTTAATATCATTAGTACCTCAGGACCTCTTTAATGAGATCCTGTTTATTCTCCCATATTTCTAGTTACAGTACTCGTCTCTGTCTAGTGAGAATGTGAGCTATGGATGTGGATTTCCCCAAAGTCCTGGAACTTTCCCACTTACATTCCTCCTGTTTCACAGGGAGACAATCAGTGCACACACACTGTCCCCTTCTCTTTCAGCCACGTGTTTTCCAGCCCATTCTGTATTAGGTGAGATCACTAAAACTGTGTAAGGTAGGAATTGAGGCTGGAGTATCTTTTTATTATGCACTCTATGAGGCAGGGATTGATGCTCCTGGGTTTCTGTTTAAGAAGAGTGTTTCTCTGTTTTATTATTGTTGTGTTTTGTTTGTTTTGTTCATTTTTGCAGTACTGGGGATTGAGTCAAGAGCCTTCACACTGACCTTTATCCCCAGCCCTTTTTTAATATTTTATCTTGAAACAGGGTCTCCCCTAAGGCACTAAGTTGTCCAGGCTGGACTCAAATTTTCAATCTTCCTGCCTCAGCCTCCAAGAATGCTGGAATTACAGGCCTGCACCACCATGCCTGCCTCTCTAATGTTTATAAAGATTTTAAACAACAGAATCCTAACCTCCTGTGGGATTTTACATGGGGGAAAATGTTGGCTTATACTGTGAGGATTACCCAGTGTTCCTGTAGATGAAAGAGCTGGGATAAATGTGCTGGATTTGCCAGGACCACACAGGCTCCAGGCTGGAGAGGGGAGGGAGCTTCCTGTGTGCTGGTTGTGGCAGGAAGTGATTCCATGAAGGGAAGTGAGTGCGAACTACAGGGACACAGGGAGTTTCTCCTGGGGAAGAACTCGATATGCACATGGAGGCTCAGGCACCTTTATCCAGTGTCCTTAGAGGTGTCTCCGGCAAGTGGGGGCAAGAACTGGTATCCTTTTCACAGTGCCCTTGTTAAAGTCTGGAACAGTGGGAACAGCATCCTGTCTCCTCTCTCCTTAGGGCCTGCACCATGGAAATAGCCCATAAACCCAGCTCCAGACACAGAACAGAGTGAGTAGGCCCTTTTCATGAGGACCTAGAACATCTACCATGAGCCAAGAAGCCAGGTAAGTGTTTCTCGCTTCCCTTCCCTTCCTGTCCTTTTTCCTCCCTTCTACTCCTCATTGCCCTCCTGCTACCAAGACCACATCTTACCCAGTTCTACCTCCCTGGGCTACCCAGACCACAAACCTGCCCTTGGCCTCATATGGCATAAGAATAAAAATTATGTACCAGATACAGAAGGTGAAGAGCCTTGAGCACATACCTACCCATTTTTCAGATGGTGAAATGAAGGCACAGATAAAGAAGAAAGTGGCTCAAGGTCATACCATGAATATATTTGCTTGATTATATTGCAGTAACAAATAGTCCCTGAAGTCTCAGTAGCTTGTCTGCAAAAAGCTAGCATTTCCTCTTCCTGCTTGTCTATTGTAAGTGGACTGGGAGCTCCAGCCTATATCACTGTCTCCCAGGCCCAGGCTAAAAGAATAACCATACTCTGGAAAACTCCTGGTCTCTGAAGCAGAGGAAAAGGGAGGGTGTGTTAAATCACACTTTGGTGCTTAAAATACTTGCACAAATGTGATATGTGTCACTTTTGAGCATATGTCACTGACCAAGGTAAGTTTTATAGCCATGCCCAGTCCAGGGAGTGGGGTAGTAGGAGCCTACCAAAAGCCCTGAAAGACAGGGTAGCTGTGACCAGCCCTAGTGCCCACCACAGAGAATTAGTAACAGAGCTGGCCTGGGAACCCTCTTTTCCTGACTGTGGCCAAGGATCTTTCTCCTGCAATTCTCTCTCCCCAGAGGTGTTTCCCATGGAGGTCACAATGACTTTTTCTCCCATGGACGGTTATCCTTAGGAAGTTTGATGTTAAGAGGAAGGGACGCCAATGGTAGGAACAGAGGCGTGTCTTAGAACCACTGAAGGAGACCAAACTCGAAAATGAGGAATGCCCCAGATATCACACCACCCAGGCACTCTTTACTTCTCCTCCACCATGCTCCCCTGGGTGATTCCTTTATGCGCAGTGTCTGGACATCAGAGTCTGGATATATTAAGTCATGCCCTACACTGTGGCCACATCCTTTTGCCAGGATCATCCAAAGTCTGGGGACTTGCCCTTGCCTGGCTCCACATAGCGCACCAAGGCCATGCAAATTTCCTGGTCTTGGAGGCAAGAAATCTTAGTTCTGATCCTGGCTCTGCTGGAGCCTTGGTGCACATCTCTTACTCTTCCTTGGCCTGAGTTTTTCCATCTATTCGTGGGGATAGTGAGCCCTAATTGAGAATCATAGATACAAGCATAGTTCATGAATTCAAAAGCCCTGTGTGAGCAAGGGGCTATTACTGTACTAGTTAAAGTCAGAGAGGTTGTCTTGGTTACTTTTTTCTCACTGCTGGGACAAAATACCTGACGCCCAAAATTAAGGAAGGAAAGGTTTATTTCACTTACAGTTTGTGGAAGTCTCAATCCGTACTTGGCAGATTATAAGGCAGAGTGGCACGTGGCAGAGGGCTGCATCTCAGGGCGGCAGCACACAGCTAAGCCACAAGCACACACCAGGGCAGAATGGGGGAGGAATCCCCAAGCAGCTTCTTCCTCTCCCTTACATATGCAAACTATCCACCCCAGGGCGGGTGTAGCTCTCACACCCACAATCATTCAACTCTAATAGCCTGCCCCATGTCTGCATGAGGCTTTGGAGGGGACACACAGACATAAACCATAATAGAGGTTTAACTGTTCAGTTCACTGGCCATTGTTTGGGCACCTTATATTTGCCCAGCACTGAGGGGAAACAAGATGCTGAGGGACATCAGCATCCTTGGCTAGCAAGCAGGAACTCAGTCAAGAGCTCTCCCATGGGCTGAGTATGCAAAATGCAGAAATGTATGTACACATACATGCAGATTCACACAGTGCAGTTGAGAAGAGGTTACTAGAAGGGCTGAGATGTTCTTGTAGGCCTCTGCTGGGTGCCCAGGGCAGAGCTTGGGTCTAAGCCCTAGAACAGATACTGGGAGTTGGAAAGGCTGGCTCCTGGGTAAGCCTCCAATTCCTTCAGAGTTAGAAGTGGAATCTCTGGAATTGCAAGGATTAGATAAGATATAGAAAACCCTTACAACCATGCCTAGCATGCACTTCAATGAGTTTGCTGCTAATATTAAGGAAATAGTACCAGAAAGTCTATATGGAAATGTTTCAGCATATTCCAGTTTATGAACACTATGATCTATTTAACCAATCCATAATTGTTGGATGTTCAGATTGCTTCCAGTTTTTAACCATTAGAAATAATCTTGCAGTTAAAAATTGTGCGTACATCCATGACTTTTTCCTGAGGTTAGGGTCCTAGGAATGCAATTGCTGCACCAAAAGAAGTGCACCTTGTTCAAGCTTTTGCTGTGCACATACCCCTTGCCCTCTGTCCATACTCCAACCAGCAGGTTGTTTGGAAGTTCCAGTTTAGAAGGGGAGGATTAGTTTAGAAAGAGATGATTTTGAGATGAGTTGAGATTAGGTTCACTGTGAGTACCAGAAAGCCTTAAACAACAGTGAGAAAATAGAAGTGTATTTCTCTGTCACGTAATAGCGGTTCAAAGCCAAGAGTCTGGGGAAGGAGGGAGGCTTTACCCTACACCTCAGCACTGGCTTCTCCCTCTTATCAAACACGGCTGCCCAAAGTGTAGCCACCATATTAATATTTCAACCAAGAGGAAGAAGCAAAATAAAATAAAATAATAAACAATAAATAAAATGTAGATGACACTTCCATTCATATCCCTTTGGCCAAAACTTAATTGCATAGATATGTAGAACTATGAGAGAGGCTAGAAAATCAGGTGTTTTCTAGACAACCAAGGGATATCAGGAGTTCTAGTACTGCAGAAGAAGAGAACAAATTAGGGCAGGTCAGTGGGTGCCTATGCCATGAAGTAAACTCAGATTATGAGTGGCACAAATAATCCACAGAAACAGGAATCCATCCTCAGGAAACCATGCACAGGGGATGAGCTAGAGCCCTCCAGAGAGCAGGGGCCAGGTAGAGATGGCAGAGGTGTCAGGACCCCATGCAGAGGACATTTACTGCCTGTCTTCTGCTGCTCAGTCTTGGGGCTGGTTCTTGACTATCCCTCAACTCACTCTTCCCTCAGCTCAGCTGCCTGTGAGCTCACCTGTCCTGCAGGTGAGCCAGCATCTGCCCCACCTCACCTGCCTGCCGTATCCTTGCAGGGTAACCCCTCATGGACCCCGACAGCCCCCATCTGGGCAGCGAGAATCTGTGTGACTTGCTTGTGAGGCTGCTCATCACAAAGCAGGAATGGCTGAGAGCCAAGGTGAAGTTCTTCATCCCTGACGTGGATCTGGCCTCCAGCGACAAGGTGTCAGACCCTGTGCAGAGGGTCATCTTGCAGCTGGGGGAGCTGAAGGCCCAGGGGCCAGCCACCTGGCAGTCCTTCATCCACTGGGTGTGCATGGATCTGGAGGTGCCTCTGGACCTGGAGGTGCGACTGCTGAGCACCTGGGGCCAGGATGACGGTAAGGACAGGTGGGGGGAGGGCACAAGCAACCAGCACAGCCTCTGTGACACCAGGAGTAGTGGGAGGCCTAGGGGCCCACAAGTCACACCAAGAGGGCACAACAAAGCCAGGAACAAAATTGCATTCTTTTGAGCACTTCTCAGAACAAATTCCCCAATGCCACAAAACCAAGTGGGGCCTGGAGACCCTCCTGCCACTTTGACCCTATCCCATTGCTCTGGGGGCCCAGAGGCAAAGAGGGAAAAACTCAGGTGGCTTCTTCCAGCCAGAAAGGCCAAGCATCTATGATGCATAAGAGGTTTCTTCCTGCAACACACTCAGAAGCAAAGACAGAGAGGGCCTCTGACCTCTTCTGAGAGGCAGCAGGTTTAATTCTGTGCAGTTCAGAGGGCATTGCTTGAGCACCTTCTGTTTGCCCCAGCACTGTGGGAAACACAAGATATTTAGGGGCATCCTTGATAGCAGGTAGGATCTTAGTCAAGGGCTCTACCACGGCCAAGTGTGAGAAATGCAGGGATGTGTGTACAGGCACCTGCAGATATGCACAATGCAACATGTTTGTATACATGTGTATTCACATGCATGCAATGTGCAGACATGCATAAATATACACATGCACACCTATCGATATATGCACACAATCAGTTCTCCCCCAAAAGCTAGCTAACAGGTAAGTGCTTCTCCCTCGAGGGCACCCTCCCTGGGAATGTGGCCTGAGTAGACACCAGGCCAGAGCCGCCAAAGAGTCGCACGACATCGCCACGCATGTCCTGCTCTGCCCTCTCTTGCAGAGTTTCCCAAGCTGCTGGAAACTGGAGAGGAGAGCCAGCCTGGACCTCAGCAACCCCATGGTGAGGCCTGGGGTTGGGGAGTGGGAGAAAGTGGTGAGCACTGCGAAGTTCCCACACCCTCACCCCCAGTACTGTTCATTGAACTCAAGGCCTTTGCACTAAGCTACATCCCTAGCCCTTATTTTTTATTTTGAGACAGGTCTCACTAAGTTTCCCAGGTTGGGCTCAAACTTGCCATCCTCCAGCCTCAGCCTCCCAGAGTGCTGGAATTACAGGCACGCACCACCATACCCGGCTCCCCGTCACAACCTGGAAGAGGCTGGTAGTGGTTGGTGACAGCCGTTTCCTCCTCTGCACATGGACCCACCTGCGCCTGATATGTGATCGGGCCAGCACCCTGCCTGTTCCTAGGGATCTAACTAGAGCCCCCAGGAGAGTCAGCAGTGTCAGCCTGGGGCCACCTCTGAATCCCCTGGCTCAGTTCCCACCCCTAGCCTTGTCTCCCAGGGCCCCAGTCAGGCTGCTCTACTAGGAAGTCCTAACACTGCTCCCATCAGGACCTCTGCTCTCCATGCCTGGGAGCCGCCCACTGGTTTTCTGATGGAGCTCTGAGGGCTCAGTGATCAGTTGACAACTAATCAGCAACTGCTGGCCACCTCCTAGTCTCAGAAGCTTGCTTTCTATAGCAGTAGAGCTGGGTTCAGCAGTCATGCCCCAGGTAACCTCAGCTCCACAAAGTTTCAGACTGTGTCCAGGCCCCTGGTTCCCTCTGGCCCTTATCGCTGAGCTGGTAGTTGTCATGTGGCTGTGACTGGGGCTGGTTGAAACTCAGTGATGAGTCCCTGGTAAATACGGGACTTGTTAAAATATTGGAATACTCCCAAGCAGGTTCCAGCCCCTCCCCGCATCTTGCATGGAGGGCCCTGGCTCTGCATCAGAGGCTGTTCTGATTGGACACTGGAGGTGGCTGTAGGGAACACCATTTCCCTTCTTTCTTTGGGTGGGTGCAGTGGGGCCCAGGATCTTTGCACTGAGCTACATCCCGTCCCTTTATTATTATTACTATTGTTTATTTTGAAACAGTGCCTCACTAAGTCATTAAGTACACAGAGTAGCCTCGAACTTGTGATCATCCTGCTTTAGCCACCCAGAGTGCAGGGATTATAGGCACTGCCCTTCTTAAAATTTTCTCAAGTCCTGCCTTTCATGTTGCATGCATCCTTCTATCCTTCTTATTTTCCTTCTGCCTTTTCCACACTCTTCTGGAAAGAAATTAAAGGGACCCTGAAAATGGGTGACCAGACAGGACTCATGACACTATGCAGGACACTGAGAAGTGGGGGTGACACACACCTGACACAGGAGGTGGGTTGCAGGCCTGGCCAAGCCTGTTAGAGGTGTCACCCTCCAAAGAGCTTGGTCCTTCCTCAGTGGAGAGACAGCTGCATAACACTGAATGTTTCTGGGGTTGTGGGCTGCAGGCTTGCTGTCTGCATCTGGGTTGGGAGATGCCCAGGCCCAGAGCATCCACCCTGAAACCCTCTCCAAAGCAGGCACTGCTGTACATGCAGCCTTTGTCTGCCACCTGCCTTCTTACTGCCCCTGAGTGCAGATGCACTTGTCTGCCAGCACCTGTTTGTGGAATGGAGCACCCCAGAGGTGCTGCCCGGGGCCCCCAGTGACCCTTCCCCCTGCTTTCACTCTTTCCAGGCCTCAAGCGTCCCTGTCAGAGGTGTGAGTCCTCACCCCGCCGGAAGCACTGCAGGAAACACCGGCTAGGTGGGTCCAGAGTGGAAGTGATCTAACATGGGATTAGATGGCTGTGGGGCCTGGTCCAGATTCTAAACTCTGTCCCCTGCTGGCAAGTGTCCAGGGCCCAGTGGTACTTGTCCATCAACTCTGCGGGACAGAAGGATTGGAGGTCCTGGGTGGGCAGAGGAGAGGAGGGACCCCCCACAAGCTGCAAGGGGTTCTCCAAAGATGGGTCAGCTGTAGGAACTGGAAGCATTTCATAGGTCACAACCTTGTCATCCAGGCTGTTCCAGAGACACCCTCCCTCAGAGCTGTAGGAGCCTCTGGGGCTGACTGACATGACCTCAGGGGGTACAGGGACAGGGAGTGATGAAGATGCCTGGGAGAATCCCCTGCAACAGAAGTCCTGGGGGCACATGGAAGGGGGGTCCGTTGGGAGCTGGGAGAGAAGAGGAGAGGAAACTTCTTTCATTTGCCACCATTATCCACATGGTCCTTGTCCTTGACCAGTTGTCCCACTATCTGGACACACACACACACACACACACACACACACACACACACACGTCAACCAGGGCATAGGCAGAGGATTCATGTATATGTCAAACCAGTCACTACCTCAGCACCCTGGTCTCCGATACTAGCCCCCATCCTTCCCTGGGCCACCAAGACCGCACCCTGACCTAGAATTGAAGAGAATACCACGTGACACTGTAGGGCCAGATCAGCCAATGCCCAGGCCCTCAGCTTATTAGCAGCACAGAACTGGAACTGTCCGAAGGGACACATGTTGTTCCAATAAGATGCTGCCAAGGAAGTCCCGTCCTCATCGCCACCATACTGAAAGCTTTACCTCACTAATACTTTACCTTGCCAACAAATAGAGCTGTGACTCCCATGTCCCCATCCCACACCTGCCAGAGCCTGTGCTGCTGTAGAACCAGTCCCTTCTGGGAGCCCCCGGCACACAGCAGGAGACACAGTGGAGGCCCAGGGCTCCCACTTTCATGTTATCTCCCTGTACCTCTGCAGAGTTGGCCCAGACGTACCTGCAGCTCCTGAGGACCTCTGCCCTGCAGCACTATGGTGATGGATTCCCCGGGCCAGGGAAGGTCTATGTCCCCCCAATCCTGCAGTGGAGCCGGGCCACAGTGCCCTTAGACACTCAGGAAGGGGCCGTGCTGGGGAACCCCAAGACAGAAGACGGCAGTGATCTGAGCATCCAGGACCTCTTCAACTTCAAGACCCCCAAGAGCTCGCGGGTGACAGTGCTGTTAGGGAAGGCAGGCATGGGAAAGACCACGCTGGCCCGGCGACTCTGCCACAAGTGGGCTGATGGGCATCTGGACCACTTCCAGGCCCTGTTTCTTTTTGAATTCCGCCAGCTTAACTTGATCACACATTTGCTGACGTTGCCTCAGCTCCTTTTTGATCTGTACTTGAGACCAGAGTCGGGCCCTGATGCCGTCTTCCAGTACCTGGAGGAGAACGCCAACCGCGTCCTGCTGATATTTGATGGGCTGGACGAGGCCCTCCACCCCTGTTCCAGCATGGAGGCTGTGGGGCCCAGTGGCTCCGGCCCTGCTCTCACGCTCTTCTCCAGCCTCTGCCGTGGCACCCTCTTGCCGGGCTGCTGGGTGATGACCACCTCTCGACCTGGGAAGCTGCCCGCCTGTCTGCCCAAGGAGGCGGCCATGGTCCACATGTGGGGCTTTGACCAGCTGCGGGTGGAGGAGTATGTGAACCACTACTTCAGTGACCAGCCATCTCAGGGGGTGGCCCTCACAGAATTGCTGGCAAACAGACATCTCCGGAGCATGTGTGTGGTGCCAGCACTGTGCCAAATTGCCTGCCTCTGCCTGCACCATCAATTCTCTGCGAGCCTTCCGGGCCAGTCTGTAGCTCCTCCCCTGTCCACCATGACCCAGCTCTACATGCAGATGCTTCTTAGCTGCATGCCTCGTCCTGCCACGTCCCTGGTAGGCCTCGGAGAGGTGGCCCTGAGTGGCCTGGAGACTGGGAAGGTTATTTTCTATGATAGAGATATCCCCCCACCCGTGATGGCCTTTGGGGCTACCCACAACCTGCTGACCTCCTTCTGTATCCGCACAAGCCCTGGGCACCAGGAAACAGGCTATGCCTTTGCCCACTTCAGCCTGCAGGAGTTTTTTGCTGCCCTACACCTGATGACCAGCCCTACAGTGGACAAGGCCACACTTGCCCGCCATGTCATCCTCAATTCCCACTGGGTGCTGCGGACCAAAGCTAGACTGGGCCTCGCAGACCACCTCCCCACATTCCTGGCAGGGCTGGCATCCCACACCTGCCGTCCTTTCCTCAGCCAGGTGGCCCAACAGGATGAGACCTGGGTGGGCACCAGGCAAGCTGCTGTTGTACAGCTGGTGAGCAAGTTGGCCACCCGCAAACTCAAGGGACCAAAGGTGGTAGAGCTGTGTCACTGTGTGGCTGAGACGCTGGAGCCTGAGCTGGCCAGCCTCACTGCCAAGAACCTCCCTGACCAACTGCCCTTCCACAATTTCCCCTTGACCTACACAGACCTGACCGCCTTGGCCAGTGTTCTGGAGCACAGGGCCACCCCCATCCACCTGGAGTTTGAGGGCTGCCCGCTGGAGCCCCACTGCCCTAAGGCTCTGGTAGACTGTAGGCAAGTGGAGACCCTCAGGTGAGTAAAAGCCAAGGAGGACAGAGAGGACCTGGGAGGGAACTGGGCTTTCAGGAGAGCAGAGGCCACCAATCTGACTAGAGACTGGGTTTGGATCTTAAATATCAGAACATGCAAAGTTGGTCAAAGAAGATTTAAGCATTAACTGTTCCTTTCAATAAACCATTAGACATCAGCAGTACAATTATCCCAGCTGTCATACATATATATTTTCCTTTTTCCTTCTTTCTTTCTCTTTCTCCTTTCCCTCATCCCAGTTGTTCCTTCCTTTGAGCAATTTCTTTCCCTTTCATAATATCTATTGTGCATTTTGGGTTGTTTGTTTTTTTGTTTTTTTGTTTTTTTTTTTTTTTACTCTTTCAGGTTCTTACACTAGGGAGACAATATGATGTTTACATATGTGGGTCCAATTTACTTCACTTATGAGTATGGTCTCCAGTTGCATCCATTTACCTATAAAAGCCTCGAGTTTACCTGTTTTTATAGCTGAGTAATACTCCATTGTGTAAAAACACCACACCTTTTTTATCCATCCTCAGTTGATGGGCATTTGGGTTGTTTCCAAGATTTAGCTATGACAAATTGTGCTGCTATAAACATGGGTGCACATGTATAGCCACTGTGGTATTATGTTTTATTCTCCTTAATGGTTTGATCAGTCTTGCATTCTTACATCTGGTAATCTGAGCAACTTTGTTGAAGATAACAATATGTAATACAACAACCACTGCTAATTCCTATCATTTTGTTTTGAAACCCTGTATCATTTTTATCATTTTTGCTTTGTTTTATTTTTGTCTATGTTGTCGTTATTTTATTATTTTTTATTCTCTTCATAATTAAGTATCAGAACAGAGCGGCCCTGAGTGCCCCTTACCCTAGGACACAGTGGGGCAGCTCCGTGCTTTAACAGGACTGCCAAAGGCCAACTGGATCCCCCTCCCTGGGCCTTCTGTGGTTTTTGTGGTCTCTCTTTACTGAGCTTGAATCTCTTCTGATCCCAGCTATGCCGCTGGAAACTGTTTGGCTTTGGGCAGATTACATAACCTCTTAGCTGGTGCGGTTCTTTGTCCCTCAAGTGAGTAACTTTGAGGATGAGATGGGAGAAGGTGCAGAGCAATGGCTCAAGGTTTGCATGAGCCAGAAAAAAGGCAAGGCTGCACTCAAAGAAACTTCCTCAAATAGAAACATTAATTCCTGAAAATTTATATTTCTCTCATGGAAAAGTCAAAACTAAGTCCAAATTGGTGGCATGGTACAGGTCTATGTGGTCAGGTAGGGACCCAGGCCCCTACTCTTGTTGCTCTATTATCCCTTGGGTATCCTATCTGCATGGTCACAGCAACCTGTGCTCTGGCTTGGAGAAAGGGACAGGGTGAGAGTGGAGGCGTGCCCACTCTGTTAGATGTCAGGCTTCAAACTGGGACACGTCGCTCCGAGTCACATTGGTGAGAACAGAATCACATGGCCACGCTGAGCTGCAAGGGAGGCTGAAAATGATGTCTCTGGCTGGCAAACCATGTTGTCAGCCAACCTCTATTTCTATGGATAATGTAAAAGATGGATTCTTTGGGTGCAATGGTTTCTGCTGTGATCTGTAGTTGTCAGGGCTACAATTACAATGGCAACAATAACTGCTACTAGGTTAAACCTCATCTGGTAGAGAAGGGGGTGGTGATGGCCTCTAAGCTCTGCCCAACATAGCCTCTTAGCTGATCCTTCGCCACTTTGCTTCTTTCTATGCAGCTTTAAGAGCAGGAAGTGTGGGGACAACTTTGCAGAAGTCCTCTCCAGGAGCTTGCCAACCATGGGGAGCCTGAAAAAGCTGAGGTGAGCCAGGTCTTGGAACCAAGAATGATCTTCAGCTGAGGATACCTGGCACTCTCCCTCCTCCCCTCTATCCTACAGAGGACAGATTCCTGGCCTATCCCCTGCCCCACTCCCATTTATCTCCACCGTCTTTGCTTACCCTATAGGTTAGCAGGAAGTAAGATCACTGCCCGAGGCATCAGCCACCTGGTGCAGGCTTTGCCCCTCTGCCCGCAGCTGGAGGAGGTCAGGTGAGTGTCTCCAGACGGGCTCATTCCCTGGGAAAAGGAGTCATTGCCCAGATCCCAGGTCAGCCTGGAAGCCTGGACTGGGTTCTGCCTATTCCATCAAGATCTAAACAGTAATTTTCAACAAAACCCAGAGAATATAGTATCAGTCCAAAAGTAGGGTGTTGATGAGTCCAAGCACAAACCTCCCAAACGCTTCAGACCAGGGCTTCTGTCATCTAATATTTTGGGCCATCTTGAAAGACCATGAGTTTTGAAGCCCCCCCCCATTTCTGTGACCCCAGGAAAAGGGATGGCAGTGTATAGGCAAGAGGTGGTCACATAAATGTGTAAAACACACACCTTCACATCTCTGCACATGTATATGCACTTGCACAGAAGCACACACCTGCTCAAGTATGTGCCCCACCTGCCCATTCATAAATATATACACATATGCCACATGTATGTACACTTAAATTATGTGTATATTTAGATATAAAGACATACTAACGAGCACACACTCATACAAATACACACTTTTCCTGTGTCTAGGACCAAGGGCCCTGAGGTAGAGGACTGGGACCCTCCAGCCCCTCACTGGCAAGACCACTACTAGCTTCTATGCCACTTTTAGAAGATACACCTTGGTGCAAAGATGAAGCACTTATTAAGTAAGACATAAATGGGAACACAGTCCCTCTCATCACCTCAGCTGAGTGCTTTTGTTCACTGATCAGTCTGGTAAGGACAAAGTTTTGGAGTATTGATCCTACTGACACGTACCTTTCTTTCCTGATCACTGAGAGTGACCTTAGTCTTTTCTCTTATTATCCACCATTGTTTTCAGTCAATCTCAACATCTCAACTCCTCTGTCCCTCCAGCTAGGGATGTGGGGAGGGATGAGTGGTGAACCCCACTTGGCAGGTGGAAAAGGGGAGGTTAGAGAGGACAGCGCTCACCCTGGGGCTCCAGGTGAGGGAAGGCTAGAGCTGAGGCTGGAAGTAGCATGCGTCTCCAGTATCCCAGTCTAGACTGCTCATCACCTGCAGGCTGAGAGACCCCGATGGATTTGGGCCTTGGCCACATCCCCCCCATGAGCCCTGGAAGCAGGGTACTGAATCTCATTCTACTTGATAAGACCTGCACATCTAGATCCCTTGGGCCACCAGGCAGAAACTTCCTCATGGGGATTGAAATGGAATAAGCAAAGAACATTGCCTCCTAGCTGTGCTGGTTGGGTCCCAGGAAACATTATCACTCACTCTTCCTGGGTCCTTGTCTTGTGTATCTGTCATGAGGGTGGCCATGGCTGTCACCTACTAAATGGGGGGATAGAAGGGGACCATCCCCAGGGCTGAAGGATTGAGCCTCCATATACCTACAGTTTGCAGGACAACCAGCTCAAGGACCAGGAGGTGCTGAGCATTGTGCAGATACTGCCCAGCCTGCCACGGCTTCAGAAGCTTGAGTAAGTGGTCTTTCACTCCCGTCAGCCCAGCCCCTCTCTTGGCCTGAGTCACCCCTCCCTTGCAAATCGTAGATGAGCAACCCACTCCTGACACTTTCACTGTAATCATGCAGCCTGAGCCACAGCAACTTCTCCATATCTACCCTACTCTTCTTGGTGAAGGTGGCAGTCACCTGGCCTACTGTCAGGGCTCTGCAGGTCAGGTGAGTAGAAGGAAGGGGATCTTGGCCTTCAAGGTTGTGGAAAAAAGGAAAGACAGAATGGGAAAAGGAGGAGGCCTATGGTCTGCAAGATCTACATGTGCTTGCTCAGGTCTGTTTTACTCAAAACGGTAGCTCCAGAGCCTAACTCAGACCTACTGTCTGGTAATGGATGGATGGATGGATGGATGAGCGGATGGAGATAGACAGATGGATGCATGGGTGGATGGATAGATGGATGGGTGGGTGGGTGGATGGATGAGCGGATGGATGGGTAAATGGACGAATGTAAGGATAGAAGGATAAATGGATGGCAAAATCCAATCCGGGAAGCATAAACTAAATGAACGCGTCCCCGCGCGTTGCTCTCCGTGGTGCTGAAGCCGCCTTACAAGTTTGAATCACGGAGTAGGTTAGGTGTCCTGCTCCTTAATCCTAAAACAATTACAAATCCTCAGCCCTTTATTTATTTTTTTATTTTGAGACAGTGTCTCCGTTAGGTTGCCCAGATTGGGCTCAAACTTGCTACTTTCCTGTCTCAGCCTCCCAAAGTGCTGGGATTGCAGGCACTTACTACCCCACCCAGTTTACAACTCCTAATTTAAAACTCACAGCATTACTATTGTTTATTTCTTGTAAGAAATTACTTTCCTGACCTTTTAAAACACTTTTGAAGAATTCAACAAATAGCCTAGGATTGTACATGCCTGAGTTGGAAAACTTTTGCCAGTTCTCTTATGTTTCTCTGCCAATTATAAAATCCTATTTCTTGGGTTTGGGGGGCAGGAAGGGATGTGCAGGTGAGGGAGATGTCCGTGGCTTTCATGGCTTGGTGTCTGACCCCTTAGGGAGGCGGAACTCATCTTCCTTCTTTCCCCGTCCACAGAGACAGCTGCAGATCTACAAAGGTAAGAAGCCGGGGAGGTGTGGGTGGTGATCTAACTTAGAGAGTTGAGGGAAGTGTGGCTAGGAAAGCCCAGGAAGAGCTGGAATGTGGATTCTTCTTGCTCTGCCATGCTGAGGAATGAATTACTGCACAGAGCTGTGGATGGACTTTTTTTTCTTTTGAGAGAGAGGGTCTTGCTATGTAGTTCAAGCTGGCTTTGAACTCTCAATGTAGCCCAGGCTGGCCTCCAACTCAGAGCGATCTTCCTGCCTCAGCCTCCTGAATGCTGAGATTACAGACATGCACCACCATGCCCAGGTGGGGAAGGATTTTAATTTCCTCTAAGATATCTGACCTCATCTAACCCTGATGCAGAGAGAAATCCTCAACGTCTCAGAGTGAGCTAGACCCTTAGGCAGGACAGGAAGACACTGTTAGCCCGGCATCACTGTGTGAAGAAACTCTGGGAAAACTCTTACAGGAAAAATGAGCCGGCAATGATGGTACCTATGTCTTAAGGTTGTTGTGAGAATTACATAAGCAAATACATTGAAAGTGTTTCACACACTGGTAGCATGCGAACAGCTCTCAGACGCAGGCTGTTCCAGCTCTGCATGGACTTCCACTTGGCTATTCCTGAATGAGTGAAAAAAGGGAAGCTGCTTTCCCCTTGAAAGAACATTCTTTACGCATTCCCCACACTCCACTCTGCCTGAGCTGCACAGACAGGTGACACTCTGTCAGTGCAATGGCCTTGGGTTCAATCCCCAGTACTAGGAAAAAATAAAATCAATCTAAACTAAGTGAAATTAAGTAAAAAAAATAAAATGTTCATGGAGGCATTTGCCACATGCTTCAAGTTCCCAGTGACCCTGGGCAGGGGGGACTCCCATGGCAATGGTACAGGTGAAGAGCTCTTCCTTCATCTCAGGGAGCTCTGCCAGCCAGGGGCAGCCTGGGATCTGTGAACGTGGCTCACTGTATCCTGGCTTCCCTGCATCCCCAGGTGCCCCCTCCTACCTCCAGGACCCACCTACATGCAGTTCTTGCTCCTAACTCTTCTCACACGGAAGCTGCTATGTCACAGACCATTTTGAGTATAACAACCCATGTCACACTGGCAGCTTCTCTTTACTAAGCTCCCCCCTTGTGCCTCTGCTGGCGCTCAGACATACCTTGTCGCATTCAGCCCTTCAGGAACTCTACGTGGCAGCAATTGTTACCTGCCTTGAGAAAGAGGAAGTGAAGGCTCCAGTGGGTAAAGTGACTCACCCAAGGCCACACAGCTACATGTGGCAGAGCCAGAATTTGAGAAGTTCCCTTTGACCACAAACCTTCTGCCCCTACCGCTTTGCTGAATCACACCTTGAGCACCTTGAATCAACTGTCCCTGTGACTCCCTCACTGTGGGAGTACAGCAGGGGCCTTCAGCCCTGAGAGGTCTGGAGAAAGGCCTGGTCCATCAGAACCTGTCTCCTGAGCTCAGGTCAGTGTTTGATTTGTTCTTGCCAGAGCTCCAGAACTACCAGAAAAACACAGCCAGAGGAAAGAGACCCAGAGCAGAACCCTGGTCCTCAGGTACTGCAGTGGGGCCCCCTACCTTAAGGAGAAGGGTGATGTGGGGAGAGCCCCCTTCCTAATAGAGGCATAGTGGGGTCAGGAAGGGTAAAGGGAAGGGCAGGCACGGAGCAGGGAAGGACATGAATAAGTAATCTGACTTGACTCAGGAGTATGTCATATCAGCCGCAGCTACTGACGAATGGGCCCTCACTCTGTCCTGGGCACAGCCCCCAGTGTTCTGTGCCCATTGCTTCATGATGAGACTTCTAGAGGCCCTGTGGAATACATTTATTATTCTCACAGGACAAAGAGGGAAACTAAGTCTCAAACAGATTAGTGCCTTGCCCAGGATGGCCCAGCTACTAAGACACTGGCAGTCCCCAGACCTGTAAGTCTACATCTCCTCCAGCACTCAGAGCTGAAGGGGACATGGCACAGCTGAACCCCTCTGCCCCCACCCCTACTCCAGGCTCCAGAAATGTCAGCTCAGAGTCCACCATGCAGAGGTCCTGATAGACCTGCTCCGGGAAGGCCCCTGGCTGGAAGAAGTGGAGTGAGTGACTGGGGAAGCCCTGGGGCAGAAGCTGGGGTGGGGATGGGACCTTGAGGTGGGGGGTGCTGAGCTGGGCCTCGATTTGGAGGGAGGTGAGAGGGCACTGCACCATGCAGAAAGAGGGGCTACAGGTAACTGTAACAGCTGTCACCATTTAGCCAGTGTTCTGTGAGGGGCTTCTAAGCACATCACATTTAGCTCTCTCATTTCATGATGTAAGCACTGTCACTGTTCACATTTGGTAGAGGAGGAAGTGAAGCCACACAAAGGTAAATTTGTTCAATGTGAAACCGACAGGAAGGGCCCAGGCCTGGGTGCAAGCCCAGACAGTCTATCCCGCAGCCGCATCCCTCAAACTACTGCCACTCCTGTCCCTGAGGTCTGCAGCAAAGAACAGACCTGCTCACACCTGCTGTAGCCCCTTGGCAGGCCCGAGGAGACGAGGAGTTGGGGACTGGTGATGGTCCTGCAACAGCAAGCAGAAAGGACACCCAGTATTTGGAGGCAGATTTATTTATATCAACAGACACTGATTGGAATCATTCCCAGAATATTAGGCCCTGATCTCTGGTGGTCTAGGGCTTATATGAGATAAGCAAGCAGGAGGTACAGCGGCAGAATGGCGTGTCAACTGGAGATTGGTTCTTACAATATGCACCATAGTAACCGGCTATGCATCCAAGTGACCAGCTGTTTCTAAGAGACAGGAACAACTGAAACCGGGACAGGAACTATTACCCGGGCAACTAACAAACTGAAGTATACTGGCTTGGGTGGAGGAGGCATTTTCTGCTGCAGTCCTGCTGTGTTTTCAGGAGGCAGCCAATAGGACAGTCCTAGGAAATCTTCCAGTAGGCGCGGAGGTGGGGGGATGAAACTCTGCTGTCATGGGTTGAGGTGGATAGGGTGCAGGCTGCCTTGGTGATCAGCTCTTGGTTTTTGACCTTGAGCCTTTGGGAGAACCAGGACAGGATTAGAAGGCATCAAATATTCCTGCCTACCTTGCCACCACCACTGAGGCTGCCCCTCCCCCGCTCTCACCTGAAGCAGTGAGCACCACCCCACCTGGTCACATAGACAGAACACCTCCTGGTCCTTCCCACAGCCAGCCCATCCCGGGGGGATTTTTTGTTTGTTTGTTTGTTTGTTTTTGTTTTTTTTCCGGTACCGGTAATCGAACTCACAACCTTTTGCTTGCCAGGCAGGTGTGCCTCTGAGCTAAATCCCCAGCCCCCCAGGTGAATTTAAGTAGCTCTCAGCACCACCTCCTCTCTCCAGCCTCTTCACCCTCCTCCTAGTCCTAATCGCCCTCATCTCTTACCTGGTTTCCCCTCAGCTTCCTCACTGACTTCTCTGCTTCATCTCCACCCAACCCACCTGGTAGAATGAACTGCATTTCTGCTACCTACCCAGTCCCTTGTTTCCACTGCTCAAGACAAAGTGCAGATCCTGAAATCTGATATGGTTCAAAACTCTGCCCCCACTCCTCGCCAATCCCCATCTTACCCTAACACCCCCACTCAACCTCCAGTGCAGACACACTGGGTCCCTTTTTGGTGCTCCTATGTGCTATGCCACAGGGCCTTTGAACATGTTGTTCCTACTATCAGAAACACTCTCCTCTACCCCTTACCTACTGAATTCCTGGCTTTTCTAGAAAATAGCACAAATTTCAAGAAAGCCTTTCTTGACCCCTTCACTGGGTCAGCTGTCCCTATAATCATGGAGTTTATCACAAGATGCTATTGTGTAGGTTGTAGCATAAAGGAATAGTCAAGGATGAAGTCTTCAAGTCAGGCTACCTGGGTTCAAATCCAGGATCACCTCTGAGCGAGAGCCTTAACCATTCTGTGCTTCAGTGCACCTATCAGTAAGATGAGGATAATAATAATAATGCCTGACTCATAGGAGTGTTGTGAGGATGAAAGCTGGTCACAGTTGCAGAAGCCTCCAGGCCAGTAATGGTGAACCTTGGACAGGCTGCATGCCGTAACCGCAATCCTGTGCCCATTTATTTATCACAGAGTCCCAGCACTGCAATTAAACATGAACACTGAGGTTTTAGTTTAGGAGAAACAACTAATGCTGTCACCATAGAGAGGGCTGTGCGTGCTCGCTCTCATGCCCTGGGCCATGCTGGGTATGTCGTACGCGGCTGTCGCCTTTAGCTAACATGAAGGTTCATCATGGGAGTGATGCCATGAGTGAGGTCAGAGAGGGGCTGTGGGCATGTGGGGGTTCAGGGGAGACCCTGTCCCCACAGTGCAGGGCAGCAGGCCCTTCTGTCTCAGCCTGTCAGGGAACCAGCTGGAAGATGAAGGCTGCCGACTCCTGGCCGAGGCTGCATCCCATCTGCACATCACCGGGAAGCTGGAGTGAGTTGCTCCCTCACTTCTGGGTGCCCGAGAGGGTCCCAGAGAGCCCCACCTGGTCCCCGCCAGCCCTGGTTGCCGTGCCTACCATCAGCAGTGGTCATGCCAGTCCACTGACCGCCCCACACTCTCCAGATCCCGCAGAGGTGGTTTGACCATGCCTTGCCTTTGCCTCTGCCTGAGCTGCTGACAGCCCCAACTGTGCGCCTCACGTGGGGAGTCATGTTCATGGTCACCCGTGGCTTGGCTTCGGTCCATCCTCACAGTTCATCCCTGAAGTGGGAGTGGGCGTGCTACACTGGGGAGAACTGAGGTGTGGGGGCAGGGCTGTGAGGGCGTTAGATTAGAACACTGAAGTAGGAAGTAGTGTGTTAGGTGGGGTGCAGTTTGGGGGTGAAAGAGGATGTGAGGGTGCCAAGATGAAAAGGAAGGGTATTAGGCTGCTGAGCGTGTTGTGGTTCTTCGGGGAAGGGAGGCAGAGGTGGTGGTTGGAGGGGGAGGTGTTGGGATGTTAGCATCACCTTTGGGTTGGAGTTAGAGGAGTGTTGAGGTGTAAGTTTGGAGTCTTTGACTCTGTCACTTAGTAGCTTTATGGGCCTGGGAACACAGTGGAATGTCTCACAGCCTCAGTGTCCCCATTTGTAAAATGGGATTCCATGGGGCTATATACATGCAAAGCCCTTAAGGGGCTAATCCGTCAGTGCTCAAATGATGGTGGTGATTTTACAGACCAGGAAATTGAGGCTCAGATGAGGGGGAGCCCTCAGTTCTTACAGCTCGAGCGGGAGAACTTGATTGAGGTGGGGGAAATCACATGCCCCTTAGCTCAGCCACATGGGCCGGGATCCTTTGAGAGCCCTGGAGTGTGTCAGTAAGCCTCTGAGACACAAGGAAGGACAGGAGCCTGCTGATGACCCCTCCCTGCTCCTCTCTCCAGCCTCAGTGACAACGAGCTCTCCGTGGACGGGGTGCCCTGTGTGCTAAAGGCTGTGAACACGTGCCAGAGCCTGGCAGAGCTGCACATCAGGTGGGACCTTTGAGGACCCTGTGACTCCCACCCCAGCCTAGAGCCCTGGGCTCTCACATCATCCCCTCTAAAGTCCTTGGGATGCTTTCTGGCCCCAGGCCTTAAGGACAGACCTCTAGAAAATATTGTTGGCACCCTGCCCAGCCCTCATCCTGGCTGGTGCACCTCTGCCCAGCTGCTATAGGCACCAGCTCCTCAGGAGAGCTTCTGGGCTAGCAGGAACCAGAGACACTTGACGGGTTACACTTAGGAGCTGCAGTGACAGAGCAAAAGGTTCAACCCTTCAGCTGTGCCTCTGCCGCAACAAACTTTGTAGTGTCCTTTACATCCCAGAGCTCTCAGACCAGGCTGGGGACCTGTACCACCCAGCTTCCTCCAGCCCCATACTGGTGTCTCCTGAAAGCAACATCACATGCACAAGCGACCAAGGGGCCCCACCTAGGATAGAGCCCAACCTTATTTCTCTAAATTTCACCGTTTAGTATTGGGAGCTGGGGACAAGTGTGAATCAGTGTCCACACAGCACCCCTTGCGAGGGACGCCCCTGCTCACAGGAGGTTCCTGCTTTACACACCCTAAATGAGGAGAAACTAGACTCACACATGAGTAGATTAGGGACCTTGGTTCACTTTATATGAAGATTCAGTAAAGGGCCTGAGTGGGCACCGAATGATACTCCACTCACTTCTCAGAACTTATCCTAACCAAGCCACTGTGATTGTGTGAACATGCGTAGCCACAGGGACGCTCACCCAGGATTAGTTACAACAGGAAAAATGCAGCTGCCAAGTACCATCCAACGCAAAGGCAGACTTGTAAAAGCATTAAATGTGCCCTCATCCACCTGACTCACCAGACCTGGCGCCAGGCCACTTCCAGCTCTTCCCCAAAGTCAAAACGACCATGTAAACATTCTAAATTGATTCGGGACATCAAGGCAGCCACAACATCACGACTAAAAATGTTCACATCAGAGAACTTCCAGACCTGCTTCAGAAAGTAGCAAGAGCGATGGGGCACGTGTGTTTGAAGTGAAAGGGAGTAATTTGACGGGCAATACTTTTTACTGTAATAACTTTTTTTTAAAAATGTAAACATTCATCATATTTTTTCAACCCCACATCATACCTCAGTTACATGAAAGCCAGCATCCCAAGCCCAGAGTGCTTGGAGCCCAAGAGAAGGCTGATGGGCAGAGGAGGCAGCAGGATCTCCATCTGAGGCCCAAGTCAAGGAGAAGGCAGCAGTTAATCTTTTCTCCAGACTTGCCTTAAATTGAGGGCTACTATGGCAATAGAAGCATTTATGAAATCTGTGGTAGAAAAGCCTCCTGAAACCTCAGAGGAAGTCAGAAGAAAGTCAGAGGAAGTGGCCAGCTGGAGGGGTGGGGGTGGGGATTGGCTCTGCAGGGGTCCCTCAGCCCCAGGGCCAAACCAGGGCACAGAGCAGCTGGACAGTAACCTGCTTGGACCCTCTCTTCTCTTGGCAGCCTGCTGCAAAGAACGGTGGTCCTCACATTTGCCCAAGAGGCAGAGGAGCAGCAGGGGACCCAGGAAAGGTAGGGCCCCCCATCCTCCCGCTCCTCTCTGGCTTGGTTCTCCTCCCTGATCTCACATCTGGGCAGTGGGGTCAACTGCCAGAGAGAACTTGGTGAATTCCTGATGGGGCAGGAAGTAAGCAGGGTGACCTGTGATGCAGCTCAAAAGGGAGACGGCCAGAAGATAGCTGCCTCCCCGTTTCGCGGCCTGAAGAAATCTCTGAGGTATAGGACGTGGATGACACGTTGGGATGGCCCTGGGATTGCCAGAGAATGGTGGCGAGACTGAAGCCCTCCAGCGTAAACTCAGAGATTTCCCGGCCTGTAGCTCTGATGTTGGTCAGAACTTGTGGCTCTCTTTGGCACTAGGATACTTTAGCAGGTGTTTGCCTCCTCCAGAATATCCTCCTGGATTGCCCCAGCCCAGCATTTGGGCAGAGATTCGTGTCTTTGCTCCTTGATGTCCTCCCACAATCCTCTGTAGGGTCTGGACTTTGAAGATTTGGCTAGGGGTGGGGTTGACATCTCTGATATCGATAATGATGAGATGACGATGATGATGAAATTAATGGTAATAGAAGCCAAGAGTAATGGAGCATTTTCTATGTGTGCACCAAACACTGAACTATGACAATTCACATGTATATTACCCCACTGTGGGGTGGGACAACTTGACCCCTGTCACACACCAGGCCAAGTGGGAACCAAGATCGCAGACTCCAGGCTGAGCAGGGGTTGGCTGGTGGCAGGCGAGGTGGGGATGGACTTTGGGGACAGTGGATGAGACATCTGCTGGAGGCCCTCCGTGTGTGTCCCTGCAGGGCTGCATTTCTCGACAGCCTCACCTCCTTGACGGCCTCTGAGCCACCCAGAGAGATCAGGTACGGTGATGGCCTGGTATGTGGGGTTCTACCTTCCTCCCTTCTTTGTCCCAAGCCTCAAGCCACAAGCCCACGTGTTCCTTTGGGTCACCGTGCCCTGCCGTGTCCAGGAGCTGTGTACTGGCTTCCCTACTTCCCCCTTCCTGTGTAGCTCACCCCAGGTGGGGCAGCCCCTTTGGCCACCTTGTCTGGGCTCCCCAAGCCCTAGCAGCTGAAGGGTTGAGAGGACCCTGAAAGAGAAGAGGCTAATCCTGCCGTCCTCACCTGGGGCCTCACTGAGGCTCGGCCTGGTCCCGACAGGCTTCTCACCCACACCCCTCCCCTCCTGCTCTGTCCCTCCAGCTCTCTGTCTCGTTCCTTGTGTCTTTCATAGTTTCTCTTCCTCTACTGCCCTTCGTCTTCCTGTCTGGCTTCCTATCTCATCCCTGACTCTCTCTGCCTGTGTGTGACATCTTATAGATGTGTGCATTGAATGCTCTTGCCTGTCTACTGTCTGTCTGTCTGTCTGTCTGTCTGGATGCCAGATGTCCTGAGGTCGCTTTTCTCCTGGAAGCCTGGCTCTTTAGGTCTGGGGGGACAGGTGGCTGTCACCTATGTGCAGCAGGCAGGTGGTGCAGAGCTGTGGACCTGCCCCTCTGCAGGCTGACACGCTGTGGCTTTGGGGCTAAGCACCTGGAGAAGCTCTGTGAGGCGCTGGAAGGAAGCTGCTGCCTCGCCCGTCTCGGTCACCTCAAGTAAGTGTTTGCCCCTTGGAAGGCAGCATGTGGGGATGATCAGAGTTCCTCTGTGTTAGTGTGTTGGTTTTTCACTTTGGGGCTCTTTGGTGTTTTTGTAGGGGTTGAATCCAGGGCCTTCACATTGAGCTATATCCCTAGCGCTTCTTATCCCCAGACCCTTTTGAAAAAGGATCTCACTAAGTTACTCAGGCTGGGCTCAAACTTTCTATCCCATTCCCTCAGCCTCCCAGAATGCAGGGGTTCTATTTGTTTTTTAAGACTTAAACCAGCAGTTCTTTCTCTCCTGAAGTCAGAGAATCTGGTGAGTGATCCTCCCCTCACATGTATGTCCCCATCTTCTGAATCCCACACTGATCACCTGGGAGTCCGTGAATCTTGCAGAAGAGCCCAGAGGGCCTCCAGCTGCCTGTGTGGGGCAGACCGAGCCCTGTTCAGGTGGCCCAGACTGTGTCCTGGTCTCGGGAGAAGCCAGGAGGGCCAGGGCGGAGGAACCGGAACCATGCTGCTGCTGAGCCCGCTCAGCCTCCGCTGACCTTCCCTTCCCCTTTCAGCTTCTCGGGCAATGCTCTGAGGGATGAAGGGGCCATGCTGCTGGCCCAGCTGCTCCCAGGGCTGGGGCCCCTGCAGTCCTTGAAGTAAGTAGCCACCTGGCAGAGCCCCTGGGGTTGTCTTCTGCAGGATGAGCGGAAGCACTCTGTGTCCCCTTGTCCTGCCCCTGGGGTTATGCTAAAGATGCCATGGGAAAATGCATATGAAGCCCTGGGCCCAGTCCCTGACTGGGGCAGAGTGACAGCTCCATAAAGGGCAGCAGCTTCCTTTTCAGATTAGAGCAACAGCTCCCTTCACAGAGACTGGCCTTGTTATTCAGTGATTCAGCTTTAGCTTTCACTGCTCAGGCCGTACTTTGTGTCTTTGCAGGGCTCCCACGTTAGGGCAACCTGGCCAATGTTAGGGGAGCGTGGGGCATTATGGGAAGCGCTGTGGAAACCTAGGGATGTAGTAGGTGATTGGCTGCCAGCAGCCTTCTGGCTTCTGGGTTCCAGGGCAGGGTTGTTTGATGGGCTTTGGGTTGGGTAAGCAGGGAGGCTTTGGAGCAGAGGATACCAGGCGGATGTGCAGGGCTGCCTGAGGGTCCTGTGTCCCTGGGGAAGAGAGAGGTGTTTAGCATGGAAGGGAGGCCTTGGAAGGAGCTCAGACACCCCAAATCTTGCCTTCAGCAGACTAGAGTTCCTGAGTCCTAAAAGGCCCCAGGTGTTCTTGGCTTTTGCAGCTTCCTTCTCCTCCCAAGCTTTTCTGGGCTGAAGCATGAGGAACCCTGGTAAGAGGTCATAGGTCTTAGGTTTCAGGCCAGCTCTGCTACCTACTTACTGTGTGACCTTGGGCAAGTTGTCACTTCTCTGAGCCCTTGGTCTGTCTAAGGGATAGCTATAAGTGTTATAAGGGATAACTATAAGCCAGCCTCTGGAATAAGTGCTGTAGCGTCAGGTCCTTCCTGCTCAGACAGTGTGTCCGAAAGCAGACGAGGAGAGGGTATCACCTCTTACCCCACTTGGTGCTTGCACTTGATCAGGAGGGAAAGCCTTTGCTCTGCAGGCAAATGACATGCAGACTGAGATTCTGGGCTCACCCCCACGTGGCCTTCTGAGCACCCTGGGTGCTGGCTAAGCCAGTGCTGCAAGGCCCTGGGCTTTAGGAGAGAATTTAAATGGCAAAAACGAAGCCCTGTGGAAGATTGACTGAGGGATCAGGAAAGAAGGGAAGGTTTGTCCCTGCTTTTCAAGCAGAGACCCATGTTTCCATTTTGCACTGGGACCACCCCCTTCATCAGGTAGGGAGATGGAGCCCAGCTCTGGCCTAACACACTCTTTAAGTCCATCACAGACCAAGGGAGCCACTGGCTCTGTCACCAACTTGGTCGGTCATCTTGGGCCACCCGGCCTGTGTCTGGCCTGTTTTCTGGTTTCACTGTGAAGTTAGGAGGCTGCTCTCCAACTATCTGGCTCAGTGGTTCCATCCTGTGGAATCAGGAACAACCCCAGCTGCCCAGTGCTCTGACGCAATTTGTGTCTGGGCGCTGGGTGGCCTCCGTCAGTGTCACCCCTGTGATCTCCAGCCTCAGTGAGAATGGTTTATCCCTGGATGCCGTGTTCCATCTGACCCAGTGCCTGTCCAGTCTGCAGTGGGTTTGGCACCTGGAAGTCAGGTGAGTGCACCTCTCTGTCCCTCCTCAGCCCTCATGCTGTAGGCCCTCAGCTCTCACTTGAGGCCCTCCTTTGCCATGTCACCATGTATCATCCCTTAGAACCCTGGACATTACCTGGTACAGCTACCCACTGAATGAATGATTATATGAATGAACAGTGAGGTCTCAGAGACACTCAGGTTTCTCCAATTCACCATGAGACAGAGCCCATAGACTGTCTTATTCAGGCCCCAGGTTGTCCTTAGATACTTAGAGGTAAGTTTGGAGCTCTCCAGCGGCCCTTGGGGACTCAGGGACCTGCCCTAATTGTGAGATCACTGGAGCTGATGAACCCTAGAGGGTAGACACCAGCCAACCCAGCAGCTCTACATGAGAGGCCTCCATAGTCTCAGGCAAGCACTGCCTCTCTCCTCTTGGGGAACATCCCTGAGGGGCCCCAAGAGCAGAGATGCCATGGTAGGTGGACGAGGCTTCGCTCCTTCCCTTGTGGCAGCTTGAGCAGCAAGTCCTTGAGCTTGTCCCGCCTTGGTATCTCTATCTGTAAAATGGATCTGAGAATAATTTCTTCCCTTGCAGTCGTGCTGTGGCAAGGCAGTGAGTTAACAGTGGTGTCACATTGCATATATGCCTTGATAAATGAAGATTGCTTAATCGACTGATTGTGATAGCCCTGTCTCTAAAGGCTTCGGAAGGGGCCCTTTGTCCTTCCTCAGACGGCTGCTTCCTTTTTCTTCCAGCTTTGAGAGCCAGCACATCCTGCTGAGAGGTGACAAGAGAAGCAGGTGAGGGGGGGTGTTCTGGGAAGGGGGTGTCTCTTCTCGCCATGGTCCACTCAGCCCAAGAGCACAGCACTTGGGAGGTGCTGACACACTGGAGTTAATCCTGCGTTTGCGGCTGCCCTGCCCCCCCCACACCATGTAAGTAGTGTGCAGGGGCTTAAACCTGTCCTGGAGAAAGGCGATGTGCAGAGAGAGGCCCTGGCAGCTGACTGCAGGGCAGAGCTTGTGGTGGCACCTGCTGCTCTGTGGGTGGAACCAGAAGAGCAGTTAGGTTGCTGCTCTGGGGTGACTTCTGCCCACACAACTTAATGTGGCTCATTGCCCTTTAACACTCTGAGAATCACACTTGAGAGCCAGGGTCCGTTGGTGCTCTGGAAAAATAAAAAAGTTCCACATCTTCACAGTAAACAATGGTTTGAGGTGTTTGCTGTTGTTCCGGCCGCCCCCTAGTGGACACAGGTGTCCCAGTCTCACCTGGAAAGGTTGGCTGCAGAGTGGGGGCATCGTGAGGCCCAGCTGGGCTGTCTGAAGTCGGGGGTGGCCCAAGTCCAGGTGGTCTGACTTCTCGGGCTGCGGTCTCTGCTTCTGGGTATCCCCTGGAATCACGAAGCCCAAAGGGCTGAGGTACAGGGAGGCAGAAGTCATGAACGCTATGTTGGTAGAATAGGGAGGGCTCTGTTCTGACTCCTCTAACCTGGTCAGGTGCTGCCATCCTGGACACGTGTAAGCTGCTGGCTTCCTGTCCTGGGCCTCAGTTTCCCCACCTGTACAATGAGGGGCTGGATTCAGATCTTGTGCCTTGATTATTCCTTCCAGCCCTGACTGCTGGGCATAAGATCCAATGTGGATGACTTGAACTTTCCTTCTGTCACGGTCTCCCTACTTCCAGGGACAAACTGGCTGGTGGATCTTTGCCAGAATTCCCAGCAGGAGCTCAGCTTTCAGGATTCCGTCAGCACTGCATCCCCAGGAGCTTCTGGTACTTTCTCCCACTTTTCCTTGTGGGTAACCACAGTGGGGGTGAGAGTTAGGAAGTGGGCAGAGCCTGGGGCACTAGGGCTGGGGACTGGGACAAAGGGATAAGAGAGAGTTTGAGAGAAGGGAAAATAAAGAGGGGTGAGTGAGGGCCGGGGCTGGGGTTTGGGAGGCTCAGTGGGCCCAGGCCCGGGCCTTCTCCCTAGACAGGGTTTGCATTTATCTGTAGCATACGGGACAGCCCAGCTGCTCCCTATTTGGGGCTGCCTCTGCTTTGAGACACCATCTTCTAGAAAGCAGATAACCTGTCTCCCCAAACACAGTCAAGAAGAAGGAAAGTTGGGATGCAGGGAGAGTCCATAGGCAGGCTGCTTTTGCTGGGGCACAGCTTAGGAGTTAGGAGGCTCACCAGCTTGGCAGTGAGGGGCTTCGAGACCACGGCTAGGTCATGAAGTCCTCCCAGGGGAGAGATGCCTTCAAAGGCTGTAGGGGAGACAGCGGAGAGGAGAGAGTGCTCTGCAGGGTGGGGGAGGTGGGAGAGGGTGTGTCACTGGCTGGAAGGGGCCTGGCCCTCTCTGATCCCCTGCCCTCCCCCTGTCCTGTATCAGCCTCAAGGAGTGTCAGCTGGGGCCGCAGAGCCTCACCCGCCTCTGCACAGCTCTGGGGGAATGTCCGGGGCCACTAGAAGTCCAGTAAGTAACAAAGCACAGCCCAAAGGGCACCTGATGGACACCTGGGAGGGGCTTCCTGGTTAGAAGCCAGGGAGTCTGTCCTTGTCCCTTCCCACCAGACCCTGCTAGCCCCACCTGTGGGAGTCCCTAGGCCTACTAGGAGAGTGGCTGTCTTCCAGTAGCCCCCACCTTGGGCACCACCCCCCGCACAGGTCCTCCCTGTCCCGACCTGTAGCTTCCCACACTTGCCCGGGGCACCAGGAGCCCCCTCTGTCTGTATACAGGCACCACTCAGGCTGCCCCTGTGCCCAGAGCTTGGTGCTTTCGAAGGCTCTTCCCTGGGGTAGTCCTCTCCCCGAGGCCTCCCCCTTTCCAGCCCCCCACACCCTGAACACCTGGGCCATGACCAAGGGCTACACTTGCAATCAGCAGTCTTGCCTCAGCCACCTACAAGTCAGAGAGTCGCTTCCCTTTGGTTGTCACTGTTGTAATTTTATTACAATAATCACCTTAAAATAAAGAACTCCAAGCCTAAGCCCACCTCACCCAAACAACCCCTTCCTCTCACCCAACCAGCACTGTCCTCTGTCCAGGGGACCTTGTACTTCTTGCCCACTAGCATATTGTTTCCCACGTCAGGTTGAACATCCCTTATCCAAAATGCATGGGACCACAAAGTGCTTTGGATTTGGAATTTTTTTTTTTTTTAGGTTTTAGGGTATTTACACATATGTAATGAGACATGGCAGAGATGGGACCCAAGTCTAAACACAAAATTTGCCAGGCAGGGTGGCACACACCTGTAATCCCAGCACTTGGGGGTGAGGCAGGAGGATCGCTGTGAGTTTGAGGCCAGCCTGGACTACATAGTGAGACCCTGGGACCGGGGATATAGCTCAGCAGCACAAGCACCTTCCTGGCAAGAGCAAAGTCCTGAGTTCGATTCCTGGTACCAAAAAAATAAGTGATACATAGTGAGATCCTGCCTCCATAAATAAATAAATAAATAAATAAATAAATAAATCATTCATTCATTCATTCATTCATTCATTCATTCATTCATGCTTTGTATACACCTCATGCGAATACCCCTGAAGGTCATTTTATACAATTTTAGTGTGAGTGCACTTTGACTGGCGGCCCCTCACACACAGTCAGGAATCCCCCTGCTCCCTTTCTGGTGTCATGTCAGTGTTCAACAAGTTCTCAATCTTGGATTTTCAGATTAAGGATGTTTAACGTTTATTTGCAGTCCACAGTTTCACCCATGTCACACCATATGTGCTTTTCCATTTTGCTGCAGTGCTGTTCTTTGTTTTCTGGCTCCATCTCAAATGCCTTTCCACCCTTACCAACAAGATGGTCCGCGCTGACCCCCTGGTGTCCTTCTATACTTTTCTCCGTGTTTGGACACATGTGGCTGGGGAGGTGGGGTTTTTGCATTGTTTGATAGATGAAGGATCTTACCATGCAAGCTCTCTCTGCAACTAGCTTTTGTCTCAGAACTGTACAAGGTGGTTTCCCTGAAGATCAAGCTATATGGACCTGATTCTTTTTCTTTTTTTTTTTTTTTGGTTTTTCTCCGGTACCGGGAACCGAACTCACGACCTTGCGCTTGCCAGGCAGGCGCTTTTGCCGCTGAGCTAAATCCCCAGCCCCCTGATTCTTTTTCTATGGGTCTCTTGAAGTTGGCCAAGCTGACCTCAAACTTTTGACCCTCCTGCCTCAGCCTCCCAAATGGCTGGTATTACAGGCATGTACCACATCCAGCTCTGATTTATTTTTTTAAACAAGCTACCTTAGAATAGCTTTCTTTAGAAATACCTTAGAATAGCTTTATTTAGAAAAGTATTTAGAAAATACTTTCCCTTTTTGCCAACATCTTACATTGCATTTGCCACAAGGAAGAAACTAACCTAGGAACATGACTCACTTCACCTTTGCCAACCTTTGCACTAATGCCTGCTCTGCCTCTGATCCAGAGTCCCACCTGTGACCCCACACTGCGTTTAGACCTCACGTTCCTTAGTCTGCTCTGGTTGCTGGTGGTTTCTCACTCTTTCTTTGCTTTTCATGTCCTTCACTGTTCCAAGGAGCCCTGGTGAGATATTTTGCAAGCTGTCCCTTGGTTAGGGCTTGTCTGGTGTTTTTCTCCGGGTTAAGTGGGTTATGGGCTTGGGGAACAACACTGCAGGGGCTGGGGACCCTTCTCAGCACATCTTTTCAGGGCTGCACCTTGCTAGTGGCCTTGATTTCCTGCCAAGGCTGAGCTGAGATTCCCCAGTGTAAAGTTAGTTTTTAATTTAAACAGGACTTTTATTATGAAGACTTTCAAGCATGTATAAAAGTAGTGAGAATAGTGTAAAGGACACTCAGGTGCCCTCTACCTACCTAAAAAGTTATCACCTCATAACCCCAACACACACACACATACACACTCTGAGGGCTTTTTGCATTATGTATTTATTTTCAGTATTGGTGATTGAAACCAGGATGTTCACACTGAGCTGTGTCTCCATCCCTTTTTAAAATTTTGAGACAGGATCTTATTAAATCACTGAAATGTCCAGGCTGGGCTTGAACTTGCAATCCTCCTGCCTCAGCCTGTCCAAGTGCTTGGATTATAAGCTATGCCACTGCGCCTGGCTATTCTGAGTTATTTTGAAGCAACTCCCAAGGACCTTATAATTTTGTCTGTAAATATTTCAGTATGCATAGCAATAAGTGCTCTGTATTTTTGACATAGCCACAAAATCATCAGCAGACCTAAAATATTAACAATGATTCCTTAAAATTATCAAATATCCCATCAATATTTCATTGTCCTCGATCATCTCGCACATGTGTCTTACAGAGCATACACTTGTGCCCTCACGGCGTGGGTGGCTGTGCTGCACCCAATCTCCGCCGACCCCCACCCAGGCGTTCAGGCTGCTCCCAGGAGCCCCAGAGCAATGTTCCAAAGAGCTCTTCCTTGTTTAACCGTTAGGCAGCTACTGCACCCCACACCCTGGACCAGGTGTGGAGCGACACAGGATAACAGGATGCTGCGGGTCAGAGCTCACCTCTGGCAGTGGGGGTGAAAAAGCCTGCGGGCAGAGGTGGGTGGTCTGAGCACTCGTGGGTCTCAGCTGCGGTAGGCAGAAGTGGGGCAATAAGTACGAAAGCACTTTGCCAACTGCAAAGTGAGTAACCACTCATTGTTAGCAATAAGCTTCAAGGTACTTAACGCTGAAGTGCTGCACTTGGCTCACCCGCTCCTGGGATTTTGCCAGGGAGGCCAGGGAAGGTGGCTCAGGTCAACCACCGCAGGTCCACTTTGCCTCCGTTCCTCTTGGTGCACCGTTGGGGTGATGTAATGGGTGAAGTTTCCTTTGTTTTTTTAAAAGTGTGTAGACCCTCTTTTTGCCCAAACAGAGGTCACAGCACTTTGTATTTGGGGTTGGGTGGGGAGCCCCATGCGCACAGGTGTTATGAAGAGACCACCCTTGCTGAAGACCGCAGGTCTGGCTATGTCTTAGGCCCTCGCCCCAGCTTTGAGGCTGAAAGGACAAAGCTGAGCCTGCAGCCGGGCCCTGGCAGAGTTGCCGCCATGGACCCCTGCTCCAGAACCAAGGGCTGCTCCTCCCACTCCACCCTCTTCCATACTGAGGCTGGGATCCTTCACCCCATCTTCCCCAACCAACCAATGCAGATAGATGGGCTGGGCAGCTGGAAGCCACACTGTGGGGAGAGGGGTAACCTGTAAGGGGCAAGGGGACAGGAAGGAAGGGCAGCAAGGGGCAAAGGGAGAGAAGGCAGGAGGAGACCACCCCGAAGCCTCTGGGGGCAGGAAGTGGCTCTGGCCCCCAGTACGGGGGCTGTTTGTAAATCCCAGGTGCTCAGAGAGAGCAGAGACCCAAGGCAGGTGTCCAGGGTCTTCCTCTGTCTCCAGGGTGCTGTTGAATTACCCAATGAGTGATGAACTGGTGGGTTGACTTTGATGGCCACATCTTTCCCGCGCTGAGCCTCTGCTCACCAGGTCACCGCTCTGGATGAAAGCGGCATTTTAGTACCAGATACTGAACCCAGGGCCTTCACACCGAGCCACATCCCAGTCCCTTTTTTAATTTTTATTTTGTTTTATTTTTGAAAGAGGGTCCAGGTCACTCAGTTGCCTAGGTTGGGTTCAAACTCTCAGCCTCCCCGAGGACTGGAATTACAGACTCGTACCACCACGCCTGGTTTCTTTTCTTTATGAATGTTCCATAGAGCGCTAATCTTCATCAACAATAATCCTGGTCATCCATTTAGTTGGGGAAAAGTCTCCTACAGCCCCTTGGAAATTTGACATGCTGTCACCTATTCCAGCCTCAGAGAAGTCCGCAGCACAGAAAATTATTTCATTTGGCTGGACCCAGTCTTCCCGGCCTTCCCTTTTCTCAGTCCCACGGCTACCTCAAAGACCCAGTGTTGGGAGGGAGTTTCAGGCATCACTGGCTTGGTCCCATCTCCAGAAGGGTTTCACTGTGGAAGATCCCATTCATTGAGCTGCTTTCTTTCACAGATTGTCCTGCAAGGACCTGAGTGACCAGAGCCTGGAGACCCTGCTGCGCTGCTTGCCCCGGCTGCCCCAGCTAAGCTTGCTGCAGTAAGACAGACGGGTCCTGGTCCCGCCTCTGAGGCTCTTGCCCTGCAAATCCTTCCTCCTTTTCCCACCTTTTCTTCCTGCTACTCATCGTCTTCTCTGGCACACACAGGGACTCGAATCTGCTTCCAGCTCTTTCCTAGTACTTTGTCAACCTCAGAGGCAGTTACTGGTCCCCTCTGAGTCTCCGTTTCCTCATCGGGCAAATGGGATTAATACCTCTCAGCACTTCCCTGGGGTTGGGCCTCACATAAGCCAGTTGCTCAAAATGCTGTTAAGAATGGAACACACATGGCCAGCAGACTACTGTGGTTCTCTCCCCCATGGAAAGGTCACCTACCCCTAAAAAGAGCCTGCACAGATGTGGGTCATGTATATGTCACACACCGTTTTTTAAAGGTCATCATCTAACTCTGGCAGAGAGAAGAATTCAAGCAGCATCCCCCTAAGTATTTACAGCTCTCTTTTCTAATTTCAGCTCAGACTAGTTAGAATTTAGAAAGGATTTACTTTAAATATTCTTCTGGGGGGGGAGGGGAGCAGCTGCAGTTGAGATGGAAAAATACAACAGGAAATTAAATCATAACATTAATAACAGCGCCATAAGTGCTAAGGCTGGGCTGTTCGGGGTGTCTGGCCAGGATCACATCATCTCCAGGGTCTTGCTTCTCCTCACGGAAGAGAGAGAGGATGTGACACCATGCCAGAGGTGGGCAGGTGCAGAACAGCTCATGTGCCAACCCATGGCTCCTACCTTGCCTGCAGATAACAGATCAGGAAGGGCTCCTTTAATCACAAAATGAACACACAGGACACCTCCAACCAGAGTGGGGCTTCTGTGTGCCTAAGTCACACAGCTTCAGTCCTAAGCTCCTTGTCTGCCTTTGGAGGGAGGTGGCCAGTCTGATATTTGCCAGGGTTTCAGTTTTGTGTTACTCAGCCCCAAGTGCCTGGGCACCTCTGAGGGCCAGACACTGCCCAGGGTGCTGGCCTCTTAGAGGTCCTTGTCATCTTGGAGCACACCTTGGAGGGCAGAGGTGAAATCAAATACAATGACTGCAGCCAGTGGGAAGGTGTTTCTTCCAGGTGGTAAATGAGTTGCTGGAGAGATTTAGATGACAGCAGATGGGGTCAGGGACTGTCCTGAGGATAAACATTGAGTTATATCTGAGGGAGAGGAGGGAGCTAGCCTTGAAAAGAGCAGGGAATTGCATTCAGACACAGGGAACAGCCTGCAGGAGGCTCTGAGTCAGCTGAACTTGATGGGCTCCAAAAATAGGCCAGAGGCTGTGCAGGCCAGAGCTCGGTGTCTGGCAGGGAGAGTCCCAGGGCAGGAAGTAGAGAGATGGCCATGGCTGGGTCTCACCAGCCTGGTAGCCACAGCCAGAAGCTTGGGTCTTTGCCCCAGGGAACGTGAAAGGCAGAGAAATGATTTGGATTTTTAAAGTTCAGTGTGACCACTGGATAGAGAAGGGACTGGGGGACAAGCATAGAAATGGGAGGGGTTGTGTGAGCTAGGGGAGGGGAACGGAGCTGACAGTCAGTGGGGAGATTGGGTGGACTTGGGGTGCATCTTGGAGGGCACTGGTGAGAGAAGCTGATGGAGGTTTATGGGGGTGCTGAGGACCCACCTCATTTCCTCTAAGGTACAATGTGTAACTGAGAGTAATTATGCTCCTCAGGGGAACATTGGGCAACATATGGAGCTGTTTCTGGTGTTATAACTAGGGGCAGAGGGTGCCGCTACTGGCCTTTCATGAGCAGAGGTCTGCACACTGCCACATACTCCGCAGGGCACAGGACAGCCACCCCTCACAGCAAAGAATTATCAGACTCCAAAACTCAATGGCAGTGTCAAGAAACTCTGCCCAGAGGACCTGCAGCTTCCCACTCGATTAGCAAGGACTTGCCCATCCAGTGAGCAGTTAGATAATAAAAAGCATGAGTATTGCGCCCGCTGGATGTAAGCAAATCCTCACGCACTGGACAGGAGATTTAGCATAATTAGTCCTCTTTCTAGATAAGGAGACTGAAGCGCAGAGAAGTTAAGTGGCTTGTTCAAGGCCGCAGAGCCATAAACACCACTAGGACCCAACCCCAAGTTTGCTTGCCCCTAGTCCCTATTTGTCCCTCTTGAGTCTCTGCCTGTGCCCTCATTCCCTGCTGAGCTGCCAGCCCTCCGTGTCCCCCTCTTCCTCCCCTTGCAGCCTGTCCTGCCTTCTTGTCCTCGATCTTGCATGGCTCTGCCACTTTCCTTCTCAGGCTGAGCCAGACAAGACTGTCCCTGAAAAGCCCTTTCCTGCTGGCCGATGTAGTCAGCCAGTGCCCACGGGTTCAGAAGATGGATCTCAGGTGGGTACTGTCCTAGGAAAACCAGGACTGGTCTTGGAAAGCTGGGTCTGGAGATTGGAGGAAAGCGAGGAGGGATGAGGGCGGCAGGGCTGGGCCAGAGGCTGGGCTTCTGGAGGAGGGGTACCTGCCCTGGGGAGCACCTGGTGACCCAGGTGCTGTCTGCTCCAGGTTCCTGAACAATGCCACACTGCACTTCAGGTCCAGCAACGAGCAGGAAGGTGTGTGCTGTGGGTAAGTCCCCCCAAACCATGACTTGGCAGCCCATGGGTTTGAGGACAAGCAGACCAGCTTGGCTCAGAATGGCCTGCAGGACCTTCTCCCAGGACCTGACTCAGTGGGTTCAGCTGGGGTCCCAGGATTTGCATCTCAAGCTCCCAAGTGGTGGTGTTCCAGATTTTAATTTGGGAGGACAACGCTTTGAGAACTGCCCCCCATCGGAAGGAGGATGTAGACTCTGGGTGGGACTTGCTAAGGAGTGGGAGCAGAAAATGCTGGGTATCTGCAGAAGACTCAGCCTTGTGTGGGGACCCCTTGAGCTCAGAGGCACACCTAGAACCAGCCAGGATGGAGGTGGTGAGAGCAGCAAAACACCCCCTCCCTGCCTCACCCCCGGCCCCGCTGTGCGGCAGGTTCACAGGCTGCAGCCTCCGCCGGGAACATGTGGAACCGCTGTGCCGGGCACTAAGAAAGTGTGACAACCTCCGCCAGCTGGAGTAAGTAGGGGGCATGGATCTAGGTAGAGCTGGGGGGCCCTCATGTGCCCACCTCTACCCCAAGGGCCAGCTACCAGGGCAAGCATGAGATGCTGGCCACATCCTTCAGGTTACTCTGTACCACTCTGTCCCCCTCTCCCACCCCCACTCCCACAGGGACAGAGCTATTTCCACCTGCCCCACTAACTTGTGCAGCTCCCCGGGAAGGGTTGCAGACCCCCTTAGCCTTGTCTTGGGCCATATGACAGGGGTTATGGGCTACAGTGAAGGACCCATTGGTTTGCCCAGCAGGTGCTCATAAGTACCAAAGGGCCTAGCTGAGGAGGGGCTCCAGCCAGGCAGGGTGAGGACTTGGGACTTTTATCCCTGTGGCCTCTCCTGAATGCCCAGAGTACACACCCTACATGGGTGGGAACATCCTAACAGCTAGCGCCTAAGGAGCACCTTCTCCGCCGTTTTAAGCGCTTCCTGCATTCTTTTGAATCCTTCCAGCAACCCTAGGTGCTATTATGCCACCTTTAACAGATGAGGGCACTGGGTCACAGAAAATTTAAAAACTGGCCTCAAGTCACACAGCTAGTGCAATGCAGTCTTTGCTCACAAGTGTTAGGATCCAGCCTAGGACGGTTGAGAAGTAAAGGGTCTGTCTATGGAAAGAGAGGGGAGAGGGAAGGAGAGAGAGAGAGAGAGAGAGAGAGACAGAGACACAGAGAGAAAGAAAGAAAGAAACAGAGAAAAGACAGAGAAAGATAGGAAACAGTTTGTTAGAGATATGATGGCAAATATATGTGTGTGTATACGTGTGTGTGTGTGTGTGTGTGTGTGTTTGTCCAAAGGCAAAAAGCAAACCAACACAAAAGTAGGGAGAAAAATGGTTGTTACAACAACAAAATAGAAGCCAGGCTTCAATACATATGGGACGAAGATATTGCTTATATAAATATAAACAAATCGAAGTTAGGGGATCTGGGTCTCATTC